ATGTTCAGCTCTTGTCGATTAAAGGGCCGACTTGATTGCAAGGCCAGTTAAGCCATTGCTTAGGCCCAATTTTTTTCATAAATCTTTCAATGTATTTGTTTGAATTTTATTTTATCTACTTACCAAATTAAAGAGTAAAATATTGGCATCTAATTTAGGAAACTTCATATATTTCAATCATTGGAAAAACAATAATAGTTTCCACCATTAGATAGTGTCTACTAGTAATCTAACGATAATAATACATTAGATTTTCAGTGTGTAAGTCAAAATATTTCGAGTAAAAGTGTTCTCATCGTCATTTACATGGTAACTCGTACTCTTCCGTAATTCATACTAGTCACAAATATATCTCACTTTTATACAATTGATACTAATCACTAATTCATACAATTGATGATTGTGATAACTATTTCTTGACATCTATCATCTATATTATGAGTCCTAATTAAACTAACTATTTTTCGATATTCATAGGTCTTATTTAATTTGGTTATTTCGTCAACGGTTAGTTGACCTTACTATTTGGACAACATATACAAGAGAATTTTTATACATACTGAAATATAACTGGCCCTTTCTTTTCTCTCATTTGCAAAAAACCTTGAGAAATAATAATATGATATATAGTTGGTCAAGGAGGAATTGTGATTACATTATGATATTTTGCGATTTTAATAGATGAAAAAAGTTTAAAAAATATTATCTAATTGAATATAAAAACTTAATAATATAAAAATATTATCTAGTCGACTAGCAATAGGGGATAATCGATTAGCCTTTTGCACTTGGTCAACTAGTTCATTGCTTGGTCTACTAGGACCTTTCTAGTTTGTATTTCTTTTATAATGTTTTAGATTGGAACATGTCTAGATGATACGTGGATTTTTGCCCAATCTTAATTTGGACTTCCAAACTGAGCCTCTAGACACTAATACCTTGTACCTTGGGATCTTCCAAATGTGGAGATTTCCCCCACCCTACTGTACTTGGTATTGCTTATTGACAAGATCGCCCCAGTGAAGTCTTCAAGGCATGCGTCCCCCTTCCTAATCCTGTCGGTAATAGATTGAATTCGTTTGAATTTTCAGCTTCCAAAGCACTGAATTCATTTGAATTTCTTTCTGACATAAGCAGTTTTTTTTTTATAAGGTGATCGTGATCCGGTCTTGCATCATTCCATTAGTTTTACTAATTGTCAGGATGTCTGGTGAAGAATTTAAGAATTCAGCCAAAATTGGATAATTAGTGATTTTTTATTTTACTCGGTATATTTAGATACGGACAATTACTAGTACATAATATTTTATATGTGATATATACCACATGACAAAATAATGTTCGGTCACTGGCCTCATAATTCCACCATTGCAAGAAAATCGGGATGGCCTTTGAGCTCTCTCTTTTACCCCCACCACTTTTTTTTGAATAGCAAAAAAAATAAAAAAAGAAACCACTTAATGTTGTGTGGTACCTGGTGGGTACTTCATATTTTCTCTGTCTATATACATTTTGGGTGACACAAATGTGTGCCAGCTTTGCACCACCTGACGAGCTCAGATTTAGGTTAGGCTTGGCTTGAGCCCAGTTTATGGGTTGAGCTCAAATTATCAAAAGGCATGTGAGACTTAACTTATTACCTCAATTCAATTCAAAATTCAAAAGTTCAGAAAAAATTAACGCACGTGATAGAGCAATCATCAAGATAGTCATTATTCAAAGATAGTGTCTATCACCAAGTATAGTTATCCTCTCTGATAAATTAGTAGTTTGACGTTCACGTCACTACCACAGTTAAAACTCTATGCTTATAAATCGTAAATCTCTCATACATATAGGCAAATCTCAAACATCATACCTTGAGTTGTTCTCTCTCTCCTAATAGAGTTATCTAGCCACCGTCACCGCCTTTAGTGATTAGATCACCAAAACCCAACCACCTAATCGTTATTTCTTATCATTAATTATTTTACATCACACACCCAACTATTTGATCTCTTATCATTAATTTTTTTAAACTATACACTTAATTAATTTGATCGTGCACAACACATTCAATTAATTTAATCCTGCATAATCAACTTTGTGTATCTGGCCAACTCGCATACTGACGGGTTTCTAATTTCCTTGTTTTTCTTTCCACTTGCTTGGATGCTTCGTCTATGCGGCTCCCACCAATCTTCACTTCATTTCCTCATTGTCTCACATATATCATTGCTTTTCGATGCAAAATATATACTTAGAACAAAACTTGTGGGGCATACAATTGCTGAAGGATTTAGCAGCCCATTAAAGTTGATTTCTTCTATTTTTCATTCCACTCGCTTGGATGCTTCCTTCCTTCGTCTACAGTCTCCTACCAATCTTCATTTCATTTTCTCCTTGTTTTCATTTTGATTTTAGAGGCTCTCTCTCTCTCTCTCAAAATATCAATATCAATAGTCTGAAGTAGATCCACTCCATCACTGAAACGGGACTTTGATCTGCGTAAACATAAATAGGTTAAACTTTTAGTATGTTGTTCAGATTTTATGGGTTCTGTTTTTTCACTCAAAATTTGTAAAACTAAATACAAAACTGGTTCTGATTTCACTTGTTCTTTGTTGTTACATTGACCCATGTTGACCTGATGGATTAGTCTACTCCAGTTAAACTTTCCTTTCAAGGGCTATCTCGCTCTGTTGCTGCGTTGACTTGGCAGATCAATCTGTGTAAGTTTTCCTTCCATTTGGGCCTCTCTTTGTGCATAACTTTTTAAAATCTAATTATAATTTGTTAAGAAAAAATTCTATTTTTACTTTTGATTTTATTTCAATAAATATCATAATATAACATAAATTTTGATTGTAAAATTTGATGATGCACAAAATTAGTTTGCATACCACCTGTCAAGTATTCAATATAAAATACAGTAAAATAAATAGAGGGAGAGAGAAGACAAAATTTATAGTGGTTCGGTCAACGTGACCTACATCCACTTTGAATGGCAAGAGTCGCTGGAATTTTATTATCTCCGGTGTGGAGGGAGAGCACAAGATTACAAATTTTGAGAGGGGGGAGAGAATTATGCTCAAATGAGTCTGATGCCCCCCAAGTGTTGGTGGGGTGTACAATTTATAGTGGCTTAGTGTAGTAATTGAATAGCTAGTTTGGTAGTCATAACGGATTGAAGCCGTTTAATTGTAATTAAATATCTTGATGACCTTTTCTCTCCTTAACCGGCAAGGAAGTTATGGTGCTCTCCAAAGGACTTGGTCAAGGATGAGGGAGGTTGATTCTCNGTGTTACTGTGCACTGTAAATGAAGTAACTGGATCGAGTGTAGAGAATTGAAGAATTGGTCCTCGTTTTTGAAAGTAGGATTGCTATTTTGACACCTTGGAGAGTTCTGCTGCTACTCTTACATGTAAACTATAAGGATATAATAGTATGAACTGAAAGTTTTGGAAATGTACGAGCATATTAGTGCACAAGNGAGAGTGAGGCTCATGAATGCTCCCTTACTCCAAGGTGGAGAGGAAGCTCTCAGATGACTCTTTTTCCAAAGTAGTAGAGGAGGCTCTTGGACGACCCTTACTCCAAGGTGGTAGAAGAGGCTCTTGGATGAACTCTTAGACGACCATGTGTACTCCTCTACTGATGTAACTGTTGGAACCTGATGAGCTTTACCGGGTGCAAACCCTTTTGGACTTGGCTGGTTGGACCTTTTGGAGTTGGCCCCTTGGGCTTGGCCCATCATTTGCCCCTCAATGCCCTATGTCCAATGAAACTTGGAGAGAAGGGTATTCAGTTGAGTTTGAATTTTTAGTTGACCGACACAATTGAAAAAACTTTGGGAGGCCAAAACATCTGTTTCTAGGCCTTTTTGGACTTTTAATAGCATCAATCATAGCTCAAAGTTATATGTCTTGTAGGGTTTGCCGAGAGCTTTAATTTGATATATTATAAGTCTCATTTAGAGAAACGGAGTAAAAGATACGGTCAAAATTTCAAGGAGAGAACTAGGCGAGCAATTTGGGTGAGCAAGCAACCATCTAGGCGAGCAGGGCACTGCTCTGGGCGAGCAGCACTGTTCTAGGCGAGCAAAATTTTTTATTATTATTATAAAACTTTGGGAGGCTAAAATACCTCTTTTTGGGCCTTTTTTGGACTTTCTTTGAAAAGCTCATTACCAAAGGTAATGAGTTTTGTTTAGCTCATCGAGAGCTCCGATTTGGTATATAATAAGTCTTATTTTGAGTTTCAGATCAAGAGTCACGGTCAAAATAGCGTACAAGGAGTTGGGTGACTAGACAGCTTCTGGGCGAGCAGGGAGTGTCCTGGGCAAGCAGACAGCATCTTGGGTGAGTAGCAATTTTTTTTTTTTAATTAAAAAAACTTTGAGAGGCCAAAATAAGTGTTTCTGAGCCTTTTTTGGATTTTTTACAGCATCTTTCATTGCCATAGGCAATGATTTTGCAAGGCTCGCCGAGAGCTTTGATATGATATATAATAAGCTCTGTTTGGAGTTTCGATTCAAAAGTTACGGTCAACATAGTGTGCAACCTTTTTAAATCCGAATTTTTTGAAAACTCTTCTTAATCGGCCACCCCATTCCTTCCAGTAGACTCCTTTTACTTGTAGGACTCCATTGACTATATAAACTGCTTCTTTCACTTTCCTTTTGGATTTTTGAAGAGATCATTGTTGTCCTTGGAGATGAAAAGCAAGGAGCTAAGAGGAGTGATTTTAGGGGAGCGGCCTGCTGTGCAAGCGTTTGGAGTGTGTGAGAAGGAGGCATTGGGTGCCCAGGCTATGGCGACCCCAATCTTGGCTAGCAAACCAGGCGAGAGAGCGAGGCGCGTAGGTGTATGGGCTTGCTTCGGGCGCTGCTAGCGTGCAAGCTAGGCGCGTTGGGGCATGCACTGTAGAGAGACAGCACGCTAGGTGAGCCGGGCTGCTGCGGCGACGATCCATGTTAGGAGAGTAGGCTGTGCACATTGGCAGTCTTGGGCAAGTAGGATGGGTGTTTTGGCAATCTTGTCAAATGAGAGTTCATGGAGGGCCCTTGCGCAAAAACTAGGTGTTGAGGTTGCCGAGACCGAGATGGTGATCTATGCCACAGGAACTAAGATGAGGGGTGCCGGAGTGGGGGTGCCATTGGCATGGGGAGGCGCTATGGTGTCAAATGTAATGCCTCATGCATTGGGTGCTGATGGAGAGGCACTCATGGTGTTGGGCACTACTATAGAGACCCCTATGGTGATGGGTGCCGCTGGAGAGGAGCCCATGGTGCTAGGCGCCGTTGTCTGGCAATTTTGTTGATCGCGATGGAGGTTCGCTGTTTGGAGGCAAGCATAAGTAGAACTTGTTTGTGCTATGTGTTAAGGGCAGGGTGCTAGTACAACGAGGCGACGGTGCCAGATGGACACAAAAGAATGAGGTTCGATTGTTGACATTCAATTTAATGTAGTCCCTCGGGTTACAGACGACCTGAGTTTCAAGTGTCTGGCTAGAGATGACAAAAATAATATTTTTTCAAATATTAAAATATCTAACATAATTACTTGGAGAAAAAGGTAGGCTGCTTGCGCGAGAACAAGAACAGAGTTTGAGGATTGCTCGTGAGAGAGCTACACCTTTTGAGACCAAACTTTGGGCGATCGATGAGAGAGTCCTTAAGCTTAAGGTATAAGCTGCTTGCTTGAGAGCAGAGCAGAGGCCAAGATTTTGGCGACCTATGAGAGAGTTGTTAAGCTAGAGATATAAGCTGTCTATTTGAGAACAGTATAGAGACCAAGCTTTTGGCGACCCATGAGAGAAACGCTCAACTGGAAATAAGCTGCTTGCTTAAAAGCAGTGCTAAGGCCAAGCTTTTGGCATCCCGTGAGAGAGCTGCTCGGGTGGAAATAAGATGCTTGCTTAAAAGTAATGCAAAGGCTAAGCTTTTTGGCGACCTGAGAGAGCCGCTAAGCTAGAGATGGGCTGCCTACTTAAAAGCATTGCAGCGGCTAAGCTTTTGGCGTCCCATGAGAGAGTCGCTCAATTGGAGATAGATTGTCTGCTTGAGAACAGTGCAAAAGCTAATCTTTTGGCGGCCCGTGAGAGAGTCGTTCAGCTGAAAATAGGATGTTTGCTTAAAAGTAGTGCAGAGGCCAAACTTTTGACGACCCTTGAGAGAGCCGCTAAGTTGGAGATATAAACTGCTTGTTTGAGAACAATGTAGAGGCCATGCTTTTGGCGATCAGTGAGAGAGCCGCTCAACTGAAAATAGGCTGCTTACTTGAGAGCAGTGCAGAAATAGATCAAGTTTGTAGCGACCAGTGAGATGATTCACCTCGCTTGGACTTGTTGATGTCCTCCGTATTCATATATTTTTAGCTTTTTCCAATAGCTCTGGCTTGCCTTTTGGTGGGTGTTTCATCACTGAGAAAAGGAAGCTTAATGACCGGAGGCCTCCTAGGAAGGCGGTCATGCTGACCTTATCACCGGGCTTCTAGACCTGAAGGACATCCTCGTTAAAACGTGTGATGTAGCTCCTCAGGCTCTCGTCTTGATCCTACTTTTATGCTAAGCAAGTGGGTAGTAGGCTTATGATGGCGGCGTCCTCCAATAAAATGTGACATGAAGGACTTGCTCAGCTCAACAAACGAGCCATTAGAGGCAGGGAAGAGCTTGGCGAACCATTGTCGAGCAGATCCCTTCAAGGTAGTTGGGAACGCTCTACACAGGATTTCGTCGGGGAGGTTTGTGCAGCTGCATCAAGGTTTTAAAAATTTTGAGGTGGTCTAGTGGATCCCTCGTCCCGTAAAAAGTTTCGATGGATGACATCTTGAATTTCTGAGGAAGTGGGTAGTTCGCCACGTCAGGTTTGAAAGGTGTGTCGGTTTGACTTACGAGGTAGTTCACTGTCTCCGGTCCCTATGCCTTCATGGCGTTGAAGACGTCACCCAATTGATTTTGTACCTCATTAATTTTTTTGTCCTAGTGATTGGGAGGAGGTCTTATGGATTTACCATGGAAATGATTTTCACCATCATCCTCTTGGAAATGAGAGTCTCCACCATGGGGAGTAAGAGTTGGAGGAGGAGGTGGAGGTCCCTTATGGTGGGCCCCCCTGTGTGGGGTGCCCAGAGGTGGGGCGCCTCCTTGATTGGGAGTGCCTAGGTGGGAAGCTCCTTAATGGACAGGGCATAGAGCTCCTCTAACTTGAGGTCTAGGTTGTGTTCCTTCTTGTTGTCTGAGTATCAGTTGCAGAATCTGCTGGTTCTGGGCTATAAGTTGTTGCATGGTCTCCAGAATCTACTGCGCATTTGGGACTGGATGGGGTGGAGGAGCAACCTCCTCCTCTCGTGGTGTAATGTCTTCAGGCTGATTCATAGATCTGATGGTGATTGTCTTTGATTCAGCAAAGAAAATGTTTAGGTGAGAACTTTGTCGTTCCCATAGACGATGCCAAACTAATGATGCACAAAATTAGTTTGCACACCACCTGTCAAGTATGCAATATAAAATACAATAAAATAAGTAGAGGGAAAGAGAAGACAAGATTTATAGTGGTTCGGTCAACGTGACCTATGTCCACTTTAAATGGCAAGGGTCACCAGAATTGTATTATCTCTGATTTGGAGGGAGAGCACAAGATTACAAGCTTAGAGAGGGGAAAAGAGAATTATGCTCAAATGAGTCTGATGCTCCTCAAGTGCTGGTGGGGTGTACAATTTATAATGGCTTTGTGTTGTAATTGAATAGCTAGTTTGGCGATCATAACGGGTTGGGGCCGTTTAATAGTAATTAAATATCTTGACGACCTTTCCTCCCCTCAACCGCAAAGAAGTTATGGTGCTCTCCAAAGGACTTGGTCAAGCATGAGGGAGGTTGATTCTCTCCAAGCTGCGAGGGTGAGGCTCATGAATGCTCCCTTACTCCAAGGTGAAAACGAGACTCTTGGATGACCCTTGCTCCAATGTGGTAGAGGAGAGACTCTTGAAAGACCCTTGCTCCAAGGTGGTAGAGGAGGCTGTTGGACGACCCTTGCTCTAAAGTGGTAGAGGAGGCTCTTAGATGACCCTTGCTCCAAGGTGGTAGAGAAGGCTCTTGGATGAGCTCTTAGATGGTCATGTGTACTCCTCTATTGATGTAACTCTTGAAACCTGATGAGCTTGACCAGGGTGCAGACCCTTTTGGGGTTGGCTAGCTGGACCTCTTGAAGTTGGGCCTTTGGGCTTGTAACATGAGTTTGGCATTTGGGCTTGGTCCATCAAAATTTAAAATATTTGATATTCTATCTTTGATTGGAGTATTTTTTATCCAAGTATAACATTTTAAACTTAAGGGGTCTAAGTATTATACACCTACGAAATTCAAGGGGTCTGAGTATAATTTACTAACAGATATACTAACAGACATAAACGGCAGGGGTCTGTGTATAATATTTTAAATATCAGAGGTCTCAATAATTAAGTGGCAAATCTAATAAGGTCTTGATGTAATTCGTCCTTTTTTTTTTCATTGGCCTCTGTTTTCTTTCCTTTGAAACACCATGCTCAACTAAATTGACTAGTTGTGCAACTCGGAGCTCATTGGCGGGTTGAGAAGTCATTCAACGGTGTCAGTTACCAATAAGTCTTTGGTACAATAGTATTCCTTACCTTATAAAAATTTTGTCTTCTGCAAGTCAAGGGTTGAAGTCCATTTCCCCTCTCCCACCAAAAAAAAAAAAAGTCTCAGTTGATGTTTTAAAATTCTCAAGCCGAGATCAATCCAAATCCTCGAACCCATTCAGTCGAGTATTGGTCATGTTTAAATTTTTTCTCAATCGGATTACATAACTTGTTTTAAAATTTGGGTTAATGTTAGATTGAATTCGGATTTGCTTTTCAGGTTTTAAAACAGTGATTGACTTAAGTTCAATTTGGGCTCGAGTCTCAATTAAAAAACTCGGGACTCAGTTCAACTTCAGGTCGAATTGAATTTGGATCAAACATCAATTGATTAACTGAGGGTAGGTTCAGTTGGATCCCTAAAATTCAAGACTTTAACTTGAGTATTGTCCAAATTTAAATTGAGTAGAAATTTTTTAACTCAAGTCCAATTTAAGTATTTAATATCTCAGCCCAAGTACTAAATATTTCTGGTTGAGTTCTGCAATTTTCAATCAAATGATTTTTGTATACTCGGTAAAGAAGCCGAAACTACAGATGGATTAGATCCTGATTTATAATTGGTTATGTGGTGATGATAATCACCAAAGTGATCGATGTCCAGGATTCCACCTAGGAAAATAAAATCAAAATAAAAGTCGGAGTTGTTATTGATTGGAAGAGGATAGATGTAAGAGACCTGTTGGAGGTTTATGGTAAATGTGGAAAGTATATAATTAAAATTTTTAAATGTTGCAAGGTGTCCCATTGGTGAGCTGCAGCATGTAAGTAGATAATTATAAATTTTTAATTTATCACTATGGAATGGAGCAATGGCGGAGCCGGCAAGTTTGTTTAGGGTGGACACTTTAATTATGCATTCTAATTTTTTTTCTTCTAATCAATCACACTATATAACATATTTATATTTATTATATTATATTTGATATATAAAGTCCATTTAACATAAAAAATTTCAAAAAAAAAAAGGTATATTGTCAAGGGCGGAGCTATGAATATCTATGATAGAGGCAAAATGTAACTGATATAAAAAAATATTAAGCCAAAATTAATACAAAAAAATTCAGTTCAAGAATAAAAAAAATATAAGAATCAACACTAAATTATTGTGAAATAGTAAATTCAATTTTTTAGTACATTTTAACTTAATTATATATTTCAATAAACTATAAAAAATTTTAAAATCTCTAAAATTTTTTGTATATGAATTAAATGTAAATTAATTTTCGTATTTTATTTAGTTATAGACTAATATTACTAAAAAATATGGTAAATGAAAACTAAAAATTATTCTTAAAAAATAACAAACATTGTGTTAGATAAAGATAAATATTATATGTTCGTCAATATACAAATAAAATGTTGACTCAATCCAAAACTAACATATTTATTTTAAAGGGATAGTGGTCTACTAATTTATTAAAAAAAAAGACTAGAACCATTATTAAAATTTTCAAAAATTTAGGGGGTAAATATAATGTGTAAAATAATTTTATAGGTCGGTGCAAGGAAGGACAAAAAAACTCAAGGAACTAAGTTTTTCATGTGTTGAGATTTTCTCTGTTTCTTCTCTTTTTTTTATGACTGGGCAGTGGGTAGTTGGAAGTGAGTGGTACAAAGAGAAAAAAA